ATAATAATAATAATAATAATAATAATAATAATAATAATAATAATAATAGTCAAATAACCATGCCTTTGCAAATTCTGACAAAATTCCCTAGCTGATGTCAATGTCATTATCAGGGTTTTTAGAAAAGCATTACTAAAAGTGCTAGTTGTGGTGAGTTGGTATTTTAAATACATAGGAGTTAACCAAGCTAGGAGATAAAAGGCTGCTATGAAATTGCATTATGAGGTCTAGTATCAATTGCATTTGGCTTGATCCATGCTAGGAACTAAAAGTCAGGAGTGCTGCCTCCCTCTATGACTGTATTTTGACGGGCAAGTTGAATAAATGGAGAATCCATCTCCAACAACAAAAAATTATATGCAGTAAATCAACCCTTATTAATGCTGCACAAAGATGAAAATGAATGGATTAAAAATGAAAAAAAAAAAAACACATTGGAAGATATATGGATGTAATAGAGGGATACTAAAATGATGTATAAACAGGCCTTACTGCTGACACATGGGGAAGCCATTTCGGCCAACTTCCTTCCAACACATCACTTTAAGGGCATACGTTAAATGTGATTCTCTCCAATCATATATACTGAAGACATGTGGAGCTTTTCTACATCACCAAGGTAAATACACACTTTCAATTTAAAACTAATTCAAATTTTTTAATGTAGAAACATTTAGATACATTTTCAATCCTTGGTCTGCATCTGGACCAACCGGCAAGTCCATTTTGAGCCAGGTCATGTCTCAGTGAATATATAGCATCGAATATATCGATCCAAAATTGAGTAAGAAGTTTGAGAATCCACCATCATAAAGGAACAATTCAAGATAATGACAAGGTGACCTTCGCAAGCTCCTCCACAGGACTTCTATAACTCCTCCACTGGATCTCCACGGCACCTTAATAGCTCCTTCACAGCAGGACCTCCACAGAACCTGCACAGGACTTTCATAAGATCTCCACAGCACCTCCACTCTCTATTTTTGGATAGGGTGCCTCTCCACAGCTCTGCCACAGGACCTCCAGGTTTTCAGAAGAATGAAATCCTATTTTTTCTAGCTAAATTCTCTCTAGGAGGGAGAGCTTGTCATCTGCATTGCTGTTTGCACCCTGTGCCATTCTTCCTGTGTTACTGTGAAGTTTTTGTTTGCTTCCCCCCTTGACTTAACATTCAACATATGAAGAGCAATTATGGTGTCGTCCATGTAGTCAATAAAAAGTCACAGCATGGATAGAATAAAAAAGGAAATACTTAAGGAAGTGTGTCTGCAAGTCTGTGTAACTGCATTTCCACTCACTAACCTGGAGAGATGTTTGTGAAGTTTTTACGAGCCGTAAGCACAATTCACTTGAAATGGGCCACAGAGGTTCTGCACTACTGGACCATGTTTACGTCTTTTAGCACTATCCATATGTTCATTTAAGATACTGTGTTTCAGGGTTGATGTGTTTTTTTCCTCTCTAGATCTTGGAAATGCGCCCATGTTGTGTGTAAAAGGGATAGCTACATGCTGAAGATTTTGCCTTCTGCAAATAAACAATTGCAACATGTCAGCCTGAGAGAAACCCTCTGGTTAACTTTCCAACAGTTAGCTTCCTGCTACCTATCAACCCTAACTTACAGACTGACAGGGATGTGAAATACTAGATGAAGTGTGACAGAAAAAGTGTTTCATGCTTTTTTCTCTATACTTCCTTTTTGCTTCAGCAATACTGGGCTGCTTTACATTTATTAGTGTACCTGTAACCTCTTCTTCTGTAGCTCATGCCAAATGCAAGATTTAATATGTTGCACCAGACAAAAAAACAAAAACAATAAAAAATAACAACAAAAAACCTCCAGATGTTATCCACTAACCCTTTCCTCTTCAAAGCTGATGAGTCCTTCATCGTCGTCACTCTCCAGTTCTGCTGGCGCCTCACTGATCAGAGCATTGAGCTCTGTGTTGGCTGGTCGAGATTTCAGTAGGTCTAGGATGCGCTGCAGTGGGGACTGTCCACCACCTGGGGGGGACACCTCCTGCTGTTCCAGGTTGTCGCTCTGCTTCTTGGCAAAATTGACAAACACCTGGACAAAAAAAAAAAAAGATGGTTTATTTCAATTGCTTAATTTTGCCTCAGGAAAGTCCTGCATGTAAATGAGTCAGAGTTCTACATGTCGACTTACGTTGTCCAGAGTTGTCTGACTGACAGAGTAATCCTCAATGCCCAGCACCTCTACCACTTGTTCCATCTTACTGAAGACCTGAGCTAGGGAGATCCGCTCAGACTTCAGCTGGTACTGGACCTTAGTGTGGTGACGCTCCTACAAGTACAACAGAAGGTACCTCATTGTATGGACAAATTAATACCCACTGAGTTCTGGGGTTAAAACAGATGTTTAAATACAGCTGGTCTCAGCTATCTGTTGCTGCTGGTGTAAAAATGAAATTATTGTACGTGCTAAGTAATACGGGAACAGGCTCTGGCGTCAGGGGATTTAGTGGCACAAAGGACAGAGGTAGCTATTGTAATCTACCTTCAACACAGCTTCAGGGAAGTTTCTGTTGAAGAATCGAACCACCTCCTTCACATAGGAGCTTGTCTTGGTCCTCACTGTGATCATGTAACCATCCCCAAACCTGGAACATGATTGTAGAAACATGACTGTGGAAGCTAATGTTTTCAGATTTGGCAACCACAAGTTGTGGATGGGAAACATGGAACATATTTCCCATTCACCCATGTACACCTACACACCCACCACTGATACCACTGATGATGTTGTTGCCATACAAGGTGCTCGCCTGTCATTGGGAGAAGCTTCAGGTTCAGTGTCTTGCCAAAGGATGCTCTTGGAGGGGATTAAACCACCAACCTTGCAATTAGTGGACAACCCACTGAACAACCTGACCACAGTTGTCTGTAACCAACAGCTGTAGCCTTCTAAATTTGGCCACCTTATTTTTCACAAGTTACTGAAGTTAGTAATTAAAATTTAACTGTGAGAAGGGATTCTTGAAATTAATGTGGAGGGATCGGCTAGAGACACTGTTTCTGTAGCTCCAACAGAGTTAGACACTCAGTGATGCTACAGGGTAAAACTTCTGTGAGTTCATAGACAATCTTTTCTTGCTGCTACAACAGAAACATTTATTAGGTACCAGCTTTGTATGGCCTCCTCCCTGACCCCCAGCTACATCATAGCTGCAGGGAATTATACATCCCACAATGTCTTTTATGGTTTTAGCTAATTGTTGCAGTATGTAAATACAGTTGAGTGAAATGTAGCTAAATAAAACTTATATTATCTCTGTTCTGAAACGTAGTCATTGTTACAGAATATATCCATTTCCATAGATGGAAAGAATTAATGGGCAAAATTAAATTAATTGAGCAAATTACATTTATTTCAAAAGGGAACTTAGATGTACATAGACATAGAAAAGTGATTTTATTATGTAAAACAAATGTAATCATCTGATACTTTTCTTCAAATCTAAATTTTTGTATTTTCAGAAAATGTCATCTTTTCAATTTGTTGTTGGTTTTTGATAATGATAATAAAAGGTCAAATATAACAAAATTTGCTATAACTATGCTGGAGGATCAGGAAATGCCTATCAGTTGTGAGTCCCTTAACATTCTGTTTTCCCTTTTCCTTTTAACTTCAGTAACTTTAATGTTATTAAATCATGTTATCCCTTGCTTAGCAACAGCAGCAGCTTGTTCCAACTAAATCTCATTGATGTGTACATGGAAAGAAATACTCAAACACAAGCCATCATTCAGTGTTTATGCAGTGTTTCTGGATTCAAACCCAACAGTCATACATTAAGTAGGACAGTTGGTATGGTATCATTATATATAAATTTCATCGACATTCAGCCTGACAAATATGGTATGATTTTTTTTAGAAACTCTGGGATATGCACTAAAATACTATGACTTCTGTTTTGTGGGCTTGTGCAGTTTTTGGATAATCACCATCAGATTGTAATGACAGACTAATAACAGGTCTCTGCCTTATTGTCTGTCATACTGTTTAAAACACTGCAGAGTAGATCGCTTCTATAAATGACAAAGAAGGTGGATCATTAGCACCCTGACCTGTTCTTTAGGTGCTGGATGCTGCCGAGGCATTTGAACCTGCCATTCACCATAATGCCCAGTCGGGTGCACAATGCCTCGCACTCCTCCATGCTGTCAAGAACACCATGAAATGATATATTAAATACACTTCTGCAAAAAATGAATTGAAAAAAAGGGAAAATAGTAAAACAAAAACTTTTCCAACAGAATGTGTATGTGACAACTGGAATGTCTCACCTGTGTGATGTCAACACTACAGAGCGTCCTGTCTTGATTATGTCCAGGATTAAATTCCAGAGAAATCTGCGGGCCTTCGGGTCCATTCCAGTGGTGGGCTCATCCTGGAAAACACCACAGAATTCATGCAGAAGCAAAGAGGCAAATTATATTTTATTTAAGATACTTATTCAGCTTTAAAAGTCCCTATTATGCTGACAGGGGGGTTCTCTTTCCTTCAGTGTCATAGTTTTTCCATGCATGTAAATGGTCTGCAAACTGAAAAAGCACAAATTCCATGTCAAGGGAGTTATTCTCTCCCACGGTAGACACCCAAAAGGTCTAGGTCTAAAGAAATCTATATCGCTATCTAATACATTTGCACATTGCCTACCTCGTAGGTAGTTTGGCATATTCTGAAGCAAAGAATAGGCAGCTGCTTTGCATGCTTAACCTGCCTGTCTGCCTGATCTGTGTCCGCAGCTGGGTTCCCCAACCCGTCGTGACACAGTGATAAGCAAAGCACACCAAATGTTCAGAGCAGTTAGAAAAGTCTTCAGCACCTGAAGAACTAAAGATCCAGCAGATTACTTTCAGTTTTGATGATAATGTCCCCACAACAGGCCAGAGCATGTGGAAATTGTAATACTGAGGGACACCACTGCTTGAAAATACTGTGCACTTTGTAGCTATTACAGTGTAATAGCGACTTCTGCATGAGTCTGTCCTTGTTCCTGAACCCTGGGGTTCTGTCTTTAGAGGGTTATGTCTGGGGTCCGGCTATACCTGGAGAGCTACCTTAACCTTGGGTTTATTGAAGGAAAAGACAGAAGTTGACCAGAATGTGTGATTTGTGGTGAAATGCTAGCGAATCAAATCAAATCAAAATCAAATCAAATTTTATTTGTATAGCACTTTTCATACACTTATGCCAACACAAAGTGCTTTACAGCATTAAAAAAAAAACATTCCATCATTTAAAAAACATTACAACATTTAAAAATACTATAAAAGAAAACCCATCCCTCCCACCCTCCATGCATACGCACACACACATACGACAAATGCCGTCTCACACACACACACACACACACACACACACACACACAGTCTCTCTCTCTCACCACTGAGCTTAGGGAACCATGGCATGGCACTGAGGATTGTGGGAAACGCTACCGTCCACACCGGTAGATGTCGCAGACCATGACCACTGGGGGCACTGGCCCCCAGACCCCCGACCCTGGCAGGGGGATCCCCACAACGAGGTGGGGAGCCCCCCCAACAAGCCGGGCCGAAGGGACCCACAGACAGAACCCCCAGCAGCAGATCGGACACAGCCCCCAGTGTGGAGGACCCCCCTAAGGAAACACTGGAGTTAAAAAAAACCCAAAAAACTAGAAACTACAAAGAATAAAAGCCCTTAGCTTAGTTAAGCCTAGTTTAGTTAAGCTAGGTTTAGACTGAGATTAGCTTAGGTAGCTAAAAAGACACAGAATGACTGGAAAAAAAAGACACTCTCCAATCACTGCAACTGTTGTTCTGACTGAACCTGATCACAGATGTGTTTCTGTGGCTTTACTGCTCAAACAGATGTTGGATTCTGTAGATTTCACCAG